TACTAAAACAACTAGATATCTGTGTAGAACTAAATAAACCTTGATCCTTACCTCACACCAGATTATTTCATAGTAGATCATAAACTTAAACCTATAAGCTAAAACTATACAATTTGTACAAGAAAAATAGAAAAAAAACTTTTGTAACCTTGGGGTAGGCAAAGATGTCTTTAGAGATAAGAAGCACAAAGCATAAGAGAAATATATTGATAAAATGAACTTTATAAGAATCAAACATGGGGCCGGCATTGTGCAGCATTGTGCATTGTGCTGCTTCCAGCATCAGCATCCTATGTTGCAGACCCAGCTATTCCACTTCAGATTCAGCTTCTTGCTAATGTGCCTTGGAAATCAGCAAAGATGGCCCAAGTGCCTGAGCCCCTGCTGCCCATATGGGAGACCTGGATGGAGTTTCAGGCTCCACCACATGGAAGACCTCTCTCTCTCTGTCACTCTGTCTTTCAAATAAATAAATCTTAAAAAAAAAAAAAAAAAAAGAGGGTGGACGTTTCGCCTGACTTATGACAATAGTTAAGATGCTTGCATCCCACATTGGAGTCCCTGGGTTTGATACTCAGCTCTAGCTCCTGACTCTACCTTCCCTTCTTGTTAATACAGACCCTGGGAGGCAGTGGTAATGACTCAAATAGTTGGGTTCCTGCCACCCATGTGGGAGACCTGGCTCCTGGCTCGTGGTTCCTGACTCCCAGCTTCAGCTCCAGTCTCAATCCAGACCCAACCTCCGCCCTGGATGTTATGGGCATTTTGGGGAGTGAACCAGTGGATGGGAGTTTTTTTCTCTCTCTGCCTTTCAAATGAATTTTTAAAAGATGTTCAACATCAGGGCTGGTGCTGTGGCGCAGTGGGTTAAAGCCCTGGCCTGAAGCGCCAGCATCCCATATGGGTAGCCGGTTCTAGTCCTGGCTGCTCCTCTTCTGATCCAGCTCTCTGCTATGGCCTGGGAAAGCAGTAGAAGATGACCCAAGTTCTTGGGCCCCTGCACCCATGTGGGAGACCTGGAAGAAGCTCCTGACTCCTGGCTTCAGCCTGGCCCAGCTCCAGCCCTTGCGGCCATCTGGGGAGTGAACCAGCAGATGGAAGCCCTCTCTCTATGTCTCTGCCTCTGTCTGTAACTCTGTCTTTCAAATAAGTAAAGTAAATTTTTTTTTTTTTAAAAGATGCTCAACATCATTGGTCACCAGGGAAATAAATGTTAGAACTAAAATGAGAGGACTGGTTCACTTTGCTAGATGGATACAATAAAAATGACTTATAAACCTAGCATTGGTGAGGATGTGGAGCAACTGGAACTCACATATTGAGTTGTTGACAAGAATGTAAAATGAGCAACTTTGGAAAACCCTTTGGTAGTTTCTTATAAAGTTAAATATGCATTTTTACCAATATGACTCAGCAATTCTACTTCTAGATTTATACCTAAGATAAAGGAAGACATACATCCACATGAGACTTGTACATGAATCTTCATTGATGCTTTATTCATAATATCTCAAATTGAAAACAACCCAAATGCCCATCAACATATGAATCCATACAATGGAATACTTCCTGACTGTAAAAAGCAATAAATTACTAATTCATGTAGCCACATAGATGAGTAGTATAGATATTATGTTGCACAAAAGAAGTCAGGTGCAAAAGAGTATACTGATTCTGTTTATATGCAGTACTGGAACAGGCAAGACTAATCCGTGGAGACAGAAATCAGATCAGGGGGCTGGCATTGTAGCGTACCAGATGAAGCCACCGCTGGATGCTGGCATTCTGTAATATCCCAGGGCACTGGTTGGAGTCCTTGCTGCCCTACTTATGATCCAGCTTCCTGATAATGCTCCTGGGAAGGCAGCAGAAGATGGCCCAAGTTCTTGGACCCCTGCCACCTGTGTGGGAGACCTGGATGGAGTCCTTGGCTATTGGCTTTGGCCCGGCCCAGATCTGGCTGTGGTAGCCATTTGGGAAGTGTATCAACAGATGGAAGATTTCTCTCTCAACATGTCTCTCCCTCTCTCTGTTACTGTGTGTTTCAAAATAAATTAATAAACTTATAAATTTTTAAAAAAATCAGATCATTGGATGTCTAGAGTAGGATGAAGTTTGGAGATAGACTGCAAAGCATGAAAGAACTTCCTGGCAAGATAAAAAAAAAAGTTCTGTATATTGTTTAGGGTCATGGTTACATACATATATTTGTAAAAAGTAATTCACCTGAGGCCTGCGTTGTGGCGCAGTGTTGTGAACCTGTGTTTCTGGTTCAAGTCCCGGCTGCTCCACTTGTGATTCAGCTCTGTTAATGTGCCTATGAAAGCAACAAAAGATGGCCCAAGTACCTGGGTCCCTGCCACCCAGGTGGGAGACCCAGATGGAGTTCCAGGCTCCTGGCTTCGGCCTGGTCCAGCCCCAGCTGTTGTGGCCATTTTGTGGCAGGGACTCCTTTCCTAAGGTAGGAAAAAAGAAACCCACTAAAGGCAGAAATGGAAGGGGCTTTCCAGCTGGGGCTTTCTGATAACAAGAGGGCATAGAAACTTTCCAAGAAAAGCCACTTTGCAACTGAAACAGTTTTAGTATTTACATGTGCAGCCTTGTAACAATCATGCAAGTGGTGTTATAACTCTAAAATATCCAATCGAAATATGTGTAACCAGATATGTAAAGGGAAACTTAGAGCTGTTGGTGCCAGGGTGTACATGACAGTGCTCTGTTTTGTTCGGGGGCCCAGACTGTGGATACAAATCATCTGGGACCAGCCGCATAGGGAATAAAATCTGTTTTCCTGTTAAAAGCCCTGGTGTCTCACCTCTTTGTCCAAGTATCCTGCTGCAATTTGGGGCGTGAACCAGCAGACAGATTTCTGTCTGTCTATCTGCAACTCTGCTTTTCAGGTAAATCTTTAAAAAGAGTAATTTTTCTGTACCCTCACAATATGTGGATTTTATGGTATATAAATTAAACTCGATAAGGTTAGTTTAAAAAAACGTGAAGCATTTATTCTTAATCCCGACTTTTTTCCTTTAGTAGTCAGGTTAATGTGCCTATGACTTAATAGCTACAAACTGTATGCTAATATCTTGATTTCCTCCTACCAGAGTTACTATATAGAACCTTAGAAGCCACTCGGAAGGGATAGATTAACTGTGGTGGTTGGAATACAGGAAAACTTCCTTGTGGCATTTCAGATGGGTCTTTTTTTTTTTTTTTTAAGATTTGTTTATTTATTCAAAAGTCAGAATTACACAGAGAAGAGGCAGAGAGGGAGAGAGGTCTTCCATCCAGTGGTTCACTCCCCAATTGACTGCAATGGCTGGAGCTGCGCCGATCCGAAGCCAGGAGCCAGGAGCTTCTTCTGGGTCTCCCATGTGGGTGCAGGGGCCCAAGGACTTGGGCCACCTTCTACTGCTTTCCCAGGCCATAGCAGAGAGCTGGATCGGAAGTAGAACAGCTGGGCCTCGAACCGGTGTCCATATGGGATGCTGGTGCTTCAGGCCAGGGCGTTAAACTGCTACGACACGGTGCCGGCCCCAGATGGGTCTTAATTCCGCTGGTTTTTCTTAAGCTCCCTGAAAGTACAGATGCATTTGGGCTCACCCTTGACTCCACTATGGCTGAACTGTTTCAGGTACATAGGTGCACTGAAGAAATGTTGATTTGAATGATTTTGTAGTCACATTATTTAAAAATGCCCAGTTGGTTTGCTTATAAATGGAGTTGGACTAAGTTATTTATAAAATGACATGTTTCTTAATAATTATTGGTAAGCATTTAGCGAAGGCTTCCCTTGAGCCGGGAACACAAGCTGTTCACGGGGTTGTGATGAAGCAGTTCTCCCCCGAGTGCTGTCGTGCCAGTCTGATGCCTTGGAGGACTTTCGGCCTGAATTACATCTGTGTGGGATTTTCAAAAGGCTCATGGAAAATGCACATTCCACTTTCCATGAACTTCTTGAGGTCTCCTTTATATCCTTAAGGATTGACATCTATAGAGCTGCATGGGGGTGTTTTTATTATTTATTTTAAATAAGTCTTGAGAAGCAGCTACTTCAACAATCAACTGAGCATCACAGAGTGTAAGGTCATCTTTATCATTGCCTCAGTGTCTCCATTTTGATTGAATTTTATTGGTTTTATGATATGCTTCATTTAGTATCATTGACTAGTTTAAGAAGGCTAGTAACTTCATAGGGCTGGAGCTGTGGCATAGCAGGTAAAGCCACTGCCTACTGGTGTTAGTGTCCCATGTGGGTGCCAGTTCAAGTCCTGGCTGCTCCACTTCCAATCCAGCTCTCTGCTATGGCCTGGGAAAGCAGTGGAGGATGGCCTAGGTCCTTGGGCCCCTGCACCTGCGTAGGAGACCTAGAAGAGGCTCCTGGCTCCTTTGGATCTGCGCAGCTCAGCGATTGTGGCCATCTGGGGAGTGAACCAGTGGATGAGGGCCTCTCTCTCTCTCTCTCTCTCTCTCTCTGCCTTCAAATAAATAAATATATATATTTTAAAAGAAAGCTAGTAACCTCAAAAATTACTTGACATAGCCTTCAAACCGGTAAATCCTGGCCATGATTTTTTGCCATTAGAGATTTTTTTTAAGATTGATTTGTTTATTTTGAAAGTCAGAGTTACAGAGAGAGAGGGAGAGACAGAGAGAGAAAGATCTTCCAACCACTGCTTCAATTCTCCGGGGAGTCCACACTGGGCCAGGGCAAAGCCAGAAGCCAGAAGCTCCATCCAGGTCTCCCACATGAGTGGCACAGGCCCAAATACATGGGCCATCCTCTGCTGCTTTTCCAAGCCATTAGCAGGGGGCTGGATTGTAAACAGAGCAGCTGGGACATGATCTGGTACCCATATGGGATACTTGTGTCCCACGTGGTGGCTTTACCGGCTATGCCACGATACTGGCCCCAACTGTTCATAGATTTTAAGCTTATTAATCCTTTTCACCAAATATTTCAAAATGTGAGAAATTAAATTCCTGCTTCTAATTTTTAGGGTAACACTTGTCTGGAGAATGGATCTTTCTTGCTGAACTTTACAGGTTGTGCAGTGTGCAGTAAGCGGGATTTTATGCTGATCACAAACAAATCCTTGAGAGAGGAAGATGGAGAAGAAATAGTTACCTATGATCGTAAGTAGGTTTTTTTTTTTAATGTCAAGTTTGTTAGCAAATATCAGCTTTTGGAAGTATCCCGAGGTCTATTTTGATACTATATTGCAGCACATAGTAAGTTTTGTTTTGTTTGTAAAGATTTATTTATTTCTCTGAGAGGTAGGGTTACACACACACACACACACACAGAGAGAGAGAGAGGGAGAGACAATCTTCTATCTACCAGTTCACTCCCCAAATGGCCACAACAGCTGGAGTTGGGGAGAGACAGAGAGAGGGAGAGAGGGAAAGAGGGAGAGACAATCTTCTATCTACCAGTTCACTCCCCCAAATGGCCACAACAGCTGGAGTTGGGCCAGTACAAAGCCAAGAGCCTGGAGCTTCTTCCAGGTCCTCCCACATGAGTGTAGGGGCCCAAGGATTGGGTGGTCTTCTACTGCTTTCCCAGGCCATAGCAGAGAGCTGGAAGGGAAGAGGAGTAGCCAGGACTAGAACTGACCCACGTGGGATGCCAGCACTGCAGGTGGCGGCTTTATCTACTACACCACAGCGCCTGCCCCAGTAGGTAGGTTTTTAAGTGTAAGGTATGGGCTGTCCTTGTAGAGTTCCTGACCCCAGCTGTTGCAGTGTCTGGGGAGTGAACAGCAGATGGAAAAGCGGTCTCTGTCACTCTGCCTTTCAGATAAGTGGCTAAGACTACTAAATGCCCCTGAGGTGCTGTGGGTTTGTCATGTTTTTACCGCTATAGCTTCTCTTGGTCTCCTATCTTACTGTCAGTGTGCTTTAAGACTCTGCTTGGCATGCCTGTGTCCCGTATTGGAGAGCCTGGGTTCAAGGCCCAGCTTCACTTGCAATTCTAGCTTGCTGCTAATGTACCCCCCAGCAGGCTCAAGCACTTGAAGCCCTGCCCCCCATGTGAGAGACCTGGATTGAGCTATTTGCTCCTGGCTTCTGCCCGGCCCAGCCCTGACTGTTTCAGGCATTTGGGGATTGAATCAGTGAATGGAAGATTTCTGTCTGTGTCTTTCTCTCTGCCTTTCAAGTAAGATGGAAGTAGATTAATAAAGATGAAAAGAGTGATCACACAGCTGAAAAGAAGATTCTAGGAAGCATCTTTTTCTTTCTTTTTAGCAGGTAGCCACTGTGAACTGTGGGAGAGCATGGTGGTTAAGAGGCAAGGGCTCTGGCCAGACTGTCTGGATTTGAACTCAAAACCCTCTAGCTCTAGCTGGGTAGTCTTCCTAGTGACTCAACCATGGTGTGCCATTGTACTTATAGAGCTTTTGAGAAAAATTAAGTGAATAAGTAGGTTTTAAAAATACTTACTCTGGGGCCGGCGCCGTGGCTCACTAGACTAATCCTCCGCCTTGTGGCGCCAGCACACCGGGTTCTAGTCCCGGTCAGGGCGCCGGATTCTGTCCCGGTTGCCCCTCTTCCAGGCCAGCTCTGCTGTGGCCAGGGAGTACAGTGGAGGATGGCCCAAGTCCTTGGGCCCTGTACCCGCATGGGAGACCAGGATAAGTACCTGGCTCCTGCCATCGGATCAGTACGGTGTGCCGGCCACAGCGCACCGGCCGCGGCGGACATTGGAGGGTGAACCAACGGCAAAGGAAGACCTTTCTCTCTGTCTCTCTCTCTCTCACTGTCCACTCTGCCTGTCAAATAAATAAATAACACAATAAAAAATACTTTGTCACAGAGTAAGGACACAATAAATGATATTATTATATTGTTTTACTAGATTTTTTTTGTTACCATTAAATTCATGTAACTGATTACAGTAGTGCAGTTTCTGTCATTCCCAAGAGTAAAAACTTCTATCCAGTTAGATAGAGCCAGCTAGCTTAAAAAACACTGTTAATGGGCCGGCGCTGTGGTATAGTGGGTTAAGTCTCTGCCTGTGGCACCTGCATCCCATATGGGTGCCGGTTTGAGTCCTGGCTGCACCCACATGGGAGACCTGGAAGAAGCTTCTGATTCTTGGCTTCAGATCAACCCAGCTCTGGCCATTGTGGTCATTTGAGGAGTGAACCAGCAGATGGAAGACCCCTCTCTCTCTCTCTCTCTATCTGTAACTCGGCCTCTCAAATAAATCTTTAAAACACACACACACACATATGTATCTATTAGTTGATTACCTTAGAGAGTTTTCAGTGGAAACCAATATATATGTATTACGTCTCTGAGTTCAGACCCTTAATTCTATATTGTTATGTGACACATTCTGGATTTCTTGTATAAGTTGTTGTTATAGTAAGTTTCCTGCTAAGTTAAATATGATGTAATTAAGATTATTTTAAGCAATATCATGTTTAGAATAGACATTTCACTGTTTTAAGACACTCTAATATTTGCTTACCAAAGTCTCCTTTTGTTTTGGCAGATCTGTGTAAGAATTGTCATCATGTAATAGCCAAACATGAGTATACCTTCAGTATCATGGATGAATTTCAGGTAAATGTATATATACGGGTATATTGTTGGGAGGAAGAGAATAATAAGAGTACCCTTGAGACCTAGATTTAAATACATGAAACTTGTATAACAAATAAAAAAATTTTCTTTAAAGATTTTATTTATTTACTTGAGAGGTAGTGTTACAGTGAGAGAGGGACAGAGAAAAAGGTCTTCCATCGGCTGGTTTACTCCCCAAATGGCTGCAATGGCTGGAGCTGTGCCAATTTGAAGTCAGGAGCCAGGAGCTTCCGGGTCTCGCATGTGGGTACAGGGGCCCAAGTGCTTGGGCCACCTTCTACTGCTTCCCCAAGTCATAGCAGAGAGCTGGATCAGAAGAGGAGCAGCCAGGACTCAATCGGCACCCATACGAGATGGCAGCGCCGCAGGCAGAGGATTAACCTACTGCGCCATAGCACCAGCCCCAACAAATAAAATTTTAAACAAAGAAAATCTAGAAGCAATTTTCGTAAATGGAATACTAGCAAATATTTCTCTTGATTAACTTATGCCTTAAAAAAAAGATTTATTTACCTATTTGAAAGAGTTATATAGAAAGGAAGAGACAGGAACAGAGAGAGATCTTCCATCCACTGGTTCACTCCCCAAATGGCAGTAATGGCCAGGCTGGGCCAGACCGAAGCCAGGAACTAAATGCAGGTCTCTCATGTGGGTGGGAGAGGCCCAAATACTTGAGCTACCTTCTACTGCTTTATCCCAGGCACATTAGCAGGGAGCTGGATTGGAAGTGGAACAGTGGGGACGCTGGTACCATATGGGATTCTGGCATTGCAAGTAGCAGCCTTACCTGCTGTGCCACAACACCAGCCCCAATTTGTGCCATTTTCGGTTAACAGTGCAATATTTCAGTACACATATATTTCATAAGCTGATCAAAACAGGTAGTTAGCATAATTAGCATTTCTGTTTCCTCATCTCTTCTTTAGAGTTTAGCAGCTTCTGTGTTCCAGTTCTTCATACAGTGTTGTAAACTACAGTTGCCCCGCTCTGCTGTGGAGCGCTAAGACCTGTTTCTTCTATCTGAGTGCGTTCCTCTCCGTTTTGCAGCCTTCCTCTGTCCTTCCTGCCTCAGTCTCTGGTAGTCACTGTTCTAAGTTCAGAGTGACTCTTTTAGCTTCAGCATATGACTGGCAGAGTGTCTGGGTCTTCTCCTTGTGCAAAGTAAGAGAGAAAGACTTCAGGTGTGCTTCTGGGCGCCTGTCACCCTGTCTTTACAGGGGCCCCACCGCAGTGTTGGGTTCTGTTGCTTCAGTTTCTGAAGAGCAGCACATTAAGACTTCTCATAAGGTTTCCTTTGTGCTGCTTTGTTCTCCGGCCACTTTTGTGATTGCGTACTTGATGGCTTTCAGTGTGGGCCTGTCTCCTGTCGCCATACTTGCTGGGCACGGGCGTTGTGATAGGGAGTTATCTTTGTTTTCCCTAGTTGGCATGTAGAGCTGAGCACCTCTGTAGTCTCAACGCAGTAAGACATGTGGATTTTTCCTTTCTTTTTAAATAAAGATTTATTTCTTTTTAAAAGATTTTGTTTATTTGTTTGAGAGGTAGATTTAGAGAGAGAGGGAAAGAAAGATCTTCCAACCGCTAGTTCACTCCCCAAATGGCTGCAATGGTCAAAGCTGAGCTGATCAAAGCCAGGAGCCAGGAGCCTCTTCCAGGTCTCCCACACAGGTACACTTGGGTCATCTGCTGCTGCTTTCCCAGGCCATAGCAGAGAGCTGGATCAGAAGAAGAGCAGCCAGGACATGAACCGGTACCCGTATGGGAAGCCAGCACTGCAGGTGGAAGCTTAGCCTACTATGCCATGGCACCAGCCCCAAGATTTATTTCTTTTCTTTGAAAGAGTTACAGAAAGCAAGGGAGAAACAGAGGGACAGAGCTCTGCTTCTCCATCTGCCAGTTCACTCCCCAAATGGCCAGGGCTGGGCCATCCCGAAACCAGGAGCCTGGAACTCCATCCAGGTCTCCCACATGAGTGCAGGGGCCCAAACATCTGGGCCATACTCTGCTGCTTTTCCAAGCAGCACTCTCAGGGTGCTAGATTGGAAGCAGAGCAGCTGGGACTTGAACCAGCACCCATATGGGGACGCCAGCATCACAGGTGGTGAGTTAACAGCCCACTATGCCATAATGCTGGCCCTGTGAATAGTATTTCTAAAATAGGTGTATCAAGGTTGCAGAAGAGGAAAATAGGTGTATCGAGGTTGGCACTGTGGTATAGCCGGTGAAGCTGCCACCTGCAGTACTGGCATCCCATATCGGTGCCTGTTCAAGACCCAGCTGCTCCACTTCTGATCCAGCTCTCTGCTGTGGCCTGGGAAAGCAGTAGAAGATGGCCCAAGTCCTTGGGCTCCTGCACCCGTGTGGGAGACCTGCCCATGTGGTAGGAACCCACCTGCTTGAACCAGCAGTGCTGCTGCCAGGGTCTTGCACTAGCAGGAAACTGGAGTCAGGGGCTGGAATCAACCCCAGGCACTCCGAGTGGGACGTGGACGTCGTGACCACATGCCCAAATGCCACCCACGCTGCCCCTGCTGCACTCCTTCAGGAATCACATGTTAGCTTCTCTCCTTCTAGCATCTTTGTTTTCTCCTTGGGATTTTTTTTTCTGCATTACATGTAGTTAGTTTTTCTATATTTGTTAAACTCCTTTCGTTCCACTCAGCTACTTCTTTGACTCATCGTGTAATCATCTCTCTCCTTCCTTTTGCTTCTTTAATTGAATAGATCTCTACTTTCCCCACTTATTTCCCTGTGCTTCTCTTAACTACCTGTAAACTGGTTTTCATTTTCACATTACTAAAACCGCTCTCTCAGGGGTCCCATAATCTAGCCAAATTCTGTGGCTTTGCTTTGCTTCTTATCTCTATTAAGGTCTCTCCTGGATCTGGGTCTGTTAACTGTTGATATCTTTTTGAAACATTTCTTCCCTTGAGGTCCCTAGTGCTTGAGTTTATTTGTTTTTAAATAAATTTAACCACTCCGTTGTTTTTTCTCTTATTTCCTTTCTTGTTTTTCCCTAATTCCCTTGAGTTTTGGTCTCTGCTCTAGAACCGCCTCTGAACTCCCTCACACAGTGAGCGCACAGTCTCAGTGGGAACTTCTTGGGGATCTTCCAGATCTCCTCATCGAACCCTGACACCTCACCTGCCCTGTTTTCTCCCTGTGGTTCTCTTGGTTTTTTGTTTGTTCGGTTTTTTTTTTTTTCTTTTTTTGCTTTTTGCTTTTTGTTATTTTTTTTTCAGCTCTACAAACACATTTCCAGGACCATACCTAGTGAAGCTTAAATTGCTAAAGCAGCCTCCGATTGAAGTTTTATCACTGCCATTGAATTAATCTTCCTTAGGGATAGGCATTTGGCACAGCTGTCAAGGTGCTGCTTAGGATGCCTGTATCCCATTGGCGTGCCTGCATTCAAGGCCCACCTCCACTCTCCATTCCAGCCTCTGGCAGTGATGGCTCAAGGAGTTGAGTACCTGATACCCAGGTGGGAAACAGATGGAGTTCCTGGGTCCTGGCTTCAGCCTGACCTTGCCCACTGTTGCAGGCATCTGGGGGGTTAAACCAGCAGATAGGTGATTTCTCTGTGTCTGTCTTCTGTATTTCTCCCTGCCTTTCTCAAGATGAGATTCCCCACCACCATTGTTTCATTTTATTGTAGACATCATATGGGAAATTTAAACAAACTCAACAGTAGACAGAGTCATATGCTAACCTTCTCTACCCAGCTTCAGTTTGCTGTATTTGTCCCTCCCCATTCTACAAAACAATACAGGATTATTCTGAAGCAAATCACAAGCATGTCACTACCCTGTAGTATTTCACTACAGATTTCAGAAACATAAGGGTCACGTGTTGGGCATTTGGTGCAGCAGCAAAGGCACCACCTGGGACACCACATATTATTTTTGAGTACCTGGGCTCAAGTCCCAGAACTGCTTTTGATTACAGCTTCCTGGCCAGTGTGCTCCTTGAGAGGCTTATGACTCAAATCCTTGGTTCCCACCATGCACGTGGGAGACCTGGGTTGAGTTCTGGGCTCATGGCTTTGGCCTGGCCTTGCTCCAGTCGTTGTGAACATTTGGGGAGTGAACTAGCAGGAAGGAGATCCTTCTGTTTGCCTTTCAAATAAAGGGGGGGAAATGTTAATATTGGGAATCTATTCTTTTTTTTTTTTTTTTTTTGACAGAGTGGACAGAGAGAGAGAGAGAGAGAGAGAGAAAGGTCTTCCTTTTGCCATTGGTTCACCCTCCAATGTCCGCTGCGGCCGGTGCGCTGTGGCCGGCACACCGCACTGATCTGATGGCAGGAGCCAGGTACTTATCCTGGTCTCCCATGGGGTGCAGGGCCCAAGGACTTGGGCCATCCTCCACTGTACTCCCTGGCCACAGCAGAGAGCTGGCCTGGAAGACGGGCTCCCTGACTGGGACTAGAACCCGGTGTGCTGGCGCCGCAAGGCGGAGGATTAGCCTAGTGAGCCGCGGCGCTGGCCGGGAATCTATTCTTAAAACAACCATAGTACCACTGCTGAGCAAAGTAAGATTTTCTGATGGCAAGACTAGAGGGGTGGGGGGACAGCAGTACAGAGTTTAAATGGAAAATACATTTAACTGATTACAAGTAGTCCTTACTTTTTAAAAATTCTGTTGACAAAAAGCCCTTAAATGAACTGTGTGTTTACTTCAGGAAGCTGACAGAAATGTAAGACTCTCTCCTGCTTCTCGGTGGACCAGGGAAGGAGGAGAATTCGGGTCAGAATTAACAGAATTAATTAACAATAGGGGAAAAGGACCAGTGGGACCTAGAAATAGAACACAGGGTCTGGTCTTGGCCGAGGCTGATCCTACCCCCTCCACCCGTCCTTCCAGATCTGCACCCCTGGGCCCTGCCCTGTGCTCCTGGGCATCCTCAGGTCTGCTGAGTCTCTGCTTGGCCAGCTTTGGTAAAAGGCTTCCTCATGCCACGGTGTTGGCAGCACAGGGCACTGTGTCCCTGGTGTCACAGGTTAGAATTCTAGACATTTTCCCACAGAAGCACCGCTATATATGGTTAGACTCCATAGCACTCATGTAATATAAATTTAAGGACTTGTGGACTTTCCTGGGAACTGCTATGGATCGCATACTTCTGTGGGAAATTGCTTTTGAATTCCATACAATTGATGTACACTGAATCTGGATTCCAGACTGCCTATAAAATAAAAGTTGCCAGTGTAATCAGTCTTGCTGATTCAGTAATCTGTACAGATTGTGCTGTGGGTGGGGTTTTTCCCTCCTTTTAGATTGTTAGTGTTGTGAGGTCAGATCTTGTCCTTGCCTTCTTTCGTGGCTGCCAGCACACCTAGCACCTTGCACAGCGTACAGCATTGAGTATAAACTTTCAGTGGATACATTGGTTGGAAACTTGGGTGTTTGTCTAGTTTAATATATTCCTCCCCCACTTTTTTTAAAGATGTATTTATTATTTGATAGGTAGAGTTACAGAGGGAGAGGGAGAGACACAGAGAGAGAGAGAAATCTTCCATCTGCTGGTTCACTCCCCAGTGGTTGCAATAGCCAGAGTTGGTCCAGCCGGAAGCCAGGAGCCAGGAGCTTCTTCTGAGTCTCCCATGTGCAGGGGCCCAAGCACTTGAATGAGCCTCTGCTGCTTTCTCAGGCACATCAACAGGGAGCTGGATTGGAAGTGGAACAGACAGGGCTTGAACTAGCCCCCATATGGGATGCCATCACCACAGGTGGCTTTACCCACTACAGCACAGTGCTGGCCCCATGTTTTCCATTGTTTTAAAAAGATTTTATTTATTTGAGAGGTAGAGTTATACAGAGAGAGAGGGAGATGACTTCCTTCTTCTGGTTCACTCCCCAGATGGCTACAGCGGCCAGAGCTGGGCCAACCTGAAGCCAGGAGCTTCCTCAGGGTCACCTTCATGGGTGCGGGGGCTCAAGCAGCCAGGACATGAACTAGTTTAGTGCCCGCTACACCACAGTGCCAGCCCCATCCTTTTTTTATTTTTTTTATTTTTAAAAAGTCATTTTTGTTGTGTATTAGTGTTAGGCACCCTAGAAAGGGACAGCTCTAAGAACAGCAATTTTTCCTCAGGGACCCACACTCTATGTGCTCTGTTAACTTTCAATAGCAGTGCTAAGCTAATTAGGAGTGCTTTCTAAGTCCAAGAAATACCCATTCATTTCCAAGACGACCTTCTTGTTTCTGTAACATAGTAAATAAGAGCATGTGTTCAATTTATATAAACAAAAAGGACACACAGAATAAGCCTATGAGGCTGCTGATGGATGTTGAAGACAGTGAGTCCCGAGGGGACATCCGTGACAGCTGGTAGAGAGCGGCTTTCCCAGAGGGGGTCAGGCGGCATCTTTCTGCCTTTCCTTGAGGTAACTGTGCACTTTGTCTGTTCTAGGAGTACACCATGCTGTGCATGTTATGTGGCAAAGCTGAAGACACAATCAGTATTCTCCCTGACGATCCCCGACAAATGACCTTGTTATTCTAAGGATCCTTCTGCAGTTCTGTTGTGACTGTGTTGGGCTGGTTTGCAATACTGCAGGTGTACTGGTTTGTCTTAGCTAGTTTATAATGAAACCTTTGCATGCTCCCCCCCCCCCCTTCTCTTCTTAGTTTTTTGGTGAGGAAAAGTGCTTGGAGGGCTTGCTGCTCTCTGGAGTTGAGCTTCCCTGCTGAAGTCTCCAGTTCCCATCGGTGCAGCCAGAGAGAGACTTCCTTGTGGGCAGTTACACAGCCAGAGAATACCCAGAATGGACATGCACTTAGTCTAGGTCTCAGGTTCTCAGAAAGGAATCAGGGCCCCTTGGAATGATGGCCGATTCTAGGACTTGAGCAGGAAGTAAACCAGATGAGTCTGGAACATTTTGTGCCTCCTCCCCCCATCCCCCACCCCCCACCCCCACCCCCCCCAAAAAAAGAAAGAACAGTGCTAAACAAATGACAGTGATTGGTGGTATGCCAGAGAGAGGAGCCAATCGAAGGCCTCCAGTCACCAAAACTATCTAAATATGAGGCATGGCATACTAGTGAATTGAATTTAATTGTTTGTGCTTGGTCAAACAATTTGGGCAATAAAATAAAGTAGTATTGGATTTTTTTCTTTTTTCTTTTTTTTTTTCAGGGAATGGCTTTATTTCTTCAGCAAACACACTCAGCCCACAACATAGAACACTAAATCACAAAGTACAAATCCGAGAAAGGGAATACCTTTACTAAGTTACAAAACTTTGGCAAATCAATACAGTACTGTTTACTGTAACAAAATCATATTTTTTGTTGGAGTTATATATTCTTGTAGTGCTAAATGTTCACTCCAAAAATATCATTTAAGTACCAAAGGAAAACACTGGTTTTCAACAGAGCAAGTTATTTTATACAAATTAATGCCTTTTAAAACTGTACAGTTTCTCCTTTACAGTGAATTCCCTCATGCAAGCTGTTGAATTCTACAGCAGTAGCACAGGGGTGTGTTTGGAAGGGGCAGCTGTTTTATTCTGGGGTTGGTCCAAAGCCAGGTAGAGTAAAGTAGTACTGGGTTATGAACAAAACTATATAATAGATACCCAGGAGTCCACACTGATAGAAATGATACTGAATGAAGAGATGGGAGAGGACAGGCAAACCTCCCATGCAGATGAACTCCAAGTGGTTTATGTGGATGCCCCCACCCTTCAGTGTGGACTGAGCATGGTCATTTCCTTCCAAACAGTATGATAAAGAAGGGGTGAGGAGTAACTTGACGGTGGGGAAACCTGACAGCCACCGGTTGAGCCTGGCGATCAGGGTTAATGCCATCAGTGATAGGCCCTGTGGAGAGCATGTGCCCTTGATGTAATGAGTCTTCTCCCCCATTACCTCAGTCCACTCATGGGAAAAGCATCACACAGACCCCAGGAGGGGCGTTCTACAAAAATACCTGCCCAGTGTTACTCAAAACTGCTAAGTCACCAAAACCGAGGGAAGCGCGAGGAACTGTCATGGCCCAGAGAACCCTAAGGAGTCATGGTGACTGGGTGCAGTGTGGCGTTCCACATGGGATCCTGCGCCAGAAAAAGGACATTTGGTAGAAATTAGGGAATGCTGAATACAGTGTGCACTTTAGTTAATATGAGCGAATAGAATGGCACCAAAGGGATCCTAGAATCTCTTCACTTGCACAGCTGAATGAGCACTGGGGGTTTTAAACTCTGGCATTCATGCCCCTCTGCCAATTGGTAGTGGAATAACCATTAAGCAGAGCCCTACTCTGTTCATTGTCCCCTTTCTATTAAATCCAGCTTATAAAAAGTGATACACTGGGGCCGCGGGCGCTGTGGTGTAGCAGGTAAAGCCACTGCCTGCAGTGCCAGCATCCTATATGGGCGCTGGTTCAAGTCCCGGCTACCCCACTTCTGATCCAGCTCTCTGCTATGGCCTGGGAAAGCAGTAGAAGATGGTCCAAGTGCTTGGGCCCCTGCACCCGTGTGGGAGACCTGGAAGAAGCTCCTGGCTTCGGATTGGCACAGCTCTGGCCATTGCAGCCAACTGGAGAGTGAACCATCGGAGGGAAGACCTCTCTCTCTCTCTCTCTCTCTGTCTCTGTCTCTCTCCTCCTCCTCCTCTCTCTGTGTAATTCTTTAAGATAAATAAATAAATCTTTGAAAAAAAAGTGATATATTTCCTTCACAGTATTGTTAACAGAGCCAATGGAATGAATGACTGTAAAATGCATTGGAAGGTGTATAAGGAACTGGATAGAATGATGTGGCTTCAGTTCTCATTCTGGAACCAAAACTTAAAGGATCAGGCATTAGAAACAAAATTGTTTCTTCTTCAGATCCAAGAGATTTTAAAACCCTGAGGCCTCGCTTATATGAAAAAAAAAGAAAAAGTGAGCAAAGTGTTTGTTGTTGATACCAGGAGAAAGCTTTGTTGTATAACAGTAATAATAGCTGAGGTTTGTTGAGGGCTTACTATGTGCCAAGACTTTTTAAAGTGATTATTTAACCCACAGGGTAGGTACTGCTGTTATTCCAGTTTTAGAGCCAAAAGCACAAAGCGGTGAACTTGCTCAGGTTCACACAGCCACTGCAGAGACCCCCGCTCAGTGATGGCGCTGGGAAAGCAGGAGGCACCTGCGGTCAAGGCCAGCACCGTGAGGGTCGTAGGCAGGTCACACGCGGGTTCATTGCTCGGAAAGTCACGTCAGCTGCTGCCGAGGGATCAGTCGTTTTATTCCTGGAAAATGTTTTCCATTCTGCTGCAAATCTATATCTGACCTGCTGAGGAAACCATTTGGTGAAATGAATCCCGAAAGCAGAGAAAATGCCTCATTACCTTAAATAGCAGGACTAAGCCCATTATAGCCTCTGAATTGTCCCTTCTTGGGTTTGTTAATGTGTCCGGCTTAGTCATTTGAAGCAAGAGTATGATCTTATCTGCCCCTGCTGATCTCTTCCTCTAATTGCAGAATGTGCGATTATTTGTTTTGGACTGTTGGTTACAAAAATTTAAAGCATACGATTCTAGCTGTGTATTTCATTTTTATTCAGCCAATGTTGTGTTATGTTTTGTGACCCTTTCTTTATCATCTTCTGGAATTTTTCTAGAATGGCTCTAATAGTGGCTCTAATAGAATAAAGACCTCTTGAAGCCAGTTCCACCGAATCCTTATTTTCCTGTTCAAATGAAGGGGAACTGGGCAAACACATTGGTGTTCTTTACTTCCCGTCCTGAGAAATGAAAAGGAAAAAATAAATCACTGGAAATATGGGCTTGTCCTGGCACCTCGTTCCTTATCTACTTGTTCCATGATGTGCACATCTGGCATCTGACTTGCTAGGCTGTTGAAGTTCAAAGCTTGGGTTATATTTGTTGTATTGTTTTAGCTAGCTCTGTCTTTCTCAGATGGCCTTGGGTTTTCCCAGTACTAATAAACTGACATTTGAGATGGTTTGGACACAGCCAAGTGCAGCTTGGTATTTGTAAGCTATCACTGAGAGGAATTTATTCCCTTTTCATTTTAGTACATCAAAAAGCCTTTGGTTTCATTCAGGGCCTCTTTCTTGACTGAATTTGAGGCGCTCACTTTTAAAATATATGTTTCTTGACTGCAGGGCAAATCTGTACTGTGAGATTCAATTTTGTTGAGTGGAAAGAAAACCCAGAGAGCTGGGTCTAACATTAGCTGTGCTACCTGCTAATAGTGGGGCAGCGTGGCACTTCACTTACCCTGACTGTACACTGGTTTCTTCAGTGGAGAAATAAAAACAATTATTCCTTCACAAAGTTTTTAAATAAAATGATACAACCTGAGTGAAGCCTTTTTTTTTTCTTTTTAAGATTTATAGTTTTACATATTTGATAGGCAGAGTTAGAGAGGAGGAGAGACAGAGGAGCGACAGAATCTTCCATCAGCTAGTTCACTCCCCAAATGGCCTCATTGGCTAGGGTTGAGCCAGGCTGAAGTCAAGAGCCCAAAGCATCTTCTGGGTCTCCAGCAGGGTTGCAGGGGTCCAAGCACTTGGGCCATTTTCCACTGCTTTCCCAGGCGCATTAGCAGGGAGCTGGATCAGAAGTGGAGTAGCCAGGTCTTGAACTGGCTCTCATAAAGGAATGCTGGTATTGCAGGCTCAGGCGTAACCTGCTACACCACCACACCGGCCCCATGAAGCCATTTTTAGGTTTTGTAGCACTGGTCTCTTATGAAAAAAACTGAGCGAGATTGCATTGCAGTCAGGTAGTACTTAGGAGGGAGACTCGCCTAGCTTGTACTTTCAACTCTGCTGCTAGTTAGCCCTTCGTTCGTGGCAAATGTCTTGCCTACTTACCTTCTCTTTAAATAGATAAAAATTCCTTATGGGGTCCATATGAAGAATAAATAACTAATGTATATAACACAGTGTGTGAGCATAGTAAATATTCAATAAATGATAGTTTGGGTGATGGTTGTGACAGGGATTATAAGAAAGTTCTAGAGTTTGGCTCAGTGCGTCAACTGGAAAGGTACAGCCATGGAAACAGTCATGGGACTAATCATTGATTTCGGGCTCTGTACCTTGGTCCCCCTGCCAAATCCCTGATTCAAGCTGTGTCTCTTTCTAAGAGCCCTCATAGCAGCAATTCTTTTGTCCTAAATTGAGTAGCATTATCCTAGCACCTCTGGGAGAGCTTGTTAATGAGACTTCTCCCAGCTTCTGAGGGCCCCAGGGAAATCTGATTAAAAGATTGTGTTGATCTAGGAAAGTGGCTGATTGTATTAAAGCTTCGCCTTGTCTGTCTACGACTGAGGCTGAAAGAGGGGAGCAGACAAGAGGAATAAAGAAAACACTTTCTCTTTTCTGTTCCTTTCAGCAACAACACAAGGAAGGATTTAGTAAAGCTGAAGATCTTGTAAAACAAGTTCCTCCGGTCCCGCCTTCCCTGCTCTGCTGCCCCGGAACCAAGGCAGTGAGGTACATCTCAAACAGACAGAAACCCTCTCCCTTGCCTGGGTGTGGAGCCCTCTTAGTACCTTTATGGCCTCTTCTAACTCTCTCTGCAGATTTCCTCATACTGTAATTCCCATTCCTGTGGGAATCCTAAAATAATTCTTTGAACTTGGGCCTCATGGGAAGGAGTCAACAGGCTGTACTTGCCTGGCAGGCCCTAAATTGCCTGCGGCATGACGCCAGCATCCGGGACAGCTGGTTCCATTATTGGCTGTAACAACAGGCTATAGCACTGTCAAGATAATGAGCAGATCACACCAACGCCCGACAGGAATTCTCGATTTAATCAGCTCATGCAGTTATTGTTCTAAAATCAGTGCACCGTCCTGCCCCCAAAGAGTTCATAGTCCAACTGTTGGCTTTGAGAACAGGAATCTGAAGGGATTGAGTTTCCAGAAGAATCAGGCAAAGGGCAGCCTTAACTTAGCTGAAGGCTCTCAGGGGATTCCAGCTGTATTGCTCAGGTGACCCTTTTGAATTAAGTGCTGTCAATGACAGCACTGTGGTTGACGATGAGAGAATGGGGATCCTTAACTGTTATTCCACGTTTGCTTCGCAGATGAGACAAGTGTCTGGAAGTGGTTATGGGGGACAGCAGTTACACGATTTCCTCGGCATTGTGGTTCTCCTGAGGCCCTTCAGGACTTCACTGAGAAGTGAAACAGCCCACCTAGTGGTCAGAGAGGGGAAAGACGAAAAGAGAAGGATCCAGAAGGTCTGTGGGGCACAGTGTCAGGGCAGCGGCCTGTCAGCAGGCGTCTCCGCTGGAGCATCGCAGTGCTTGGGTGCTGGTGGTGAAACCGAGCCCCTATTCAAGTGTCCCTAAGAGCACAGGCAAGACACCAGCGGGACCCAGGCTCCCAGCCTTAGCTCCAGCTTCCCTTCCCTTCCCTTAGGATGCACAGCATCACTCACCAATCAGAGGCAGGCCGTGAGCACCACTGACCAACCAGGAACCTGGAATGAGCTGAGCATGCGCCTCTCAGCCTAGTTTCCATCTATACCAGACTTCACCCTGTGCTCCTTGGGAGCCCAGGAATTAAGTGATAGAATTAAGTGATGGTTGCCTAGCTCCTTGCTGCACACCATCTACTTTCCCATCACCCCGATGTCAATGATTAGCTTTCTGCACATTGGGTCAGCAGTCCCAGGTGTGGGGGTTCCGTCGTCACACCTCCAGCTAGTTTGAGGGGAGCTGTTCAAGCAACACTTCCAGAACGTGCCTGCGGTGATCGGGGCATCCCAGACACCATCTTCCCAATGCCCTTGGGCATAGCCCTTGTCACAGCCAACGCCAATGACAACGGCAGGCTAGAAGCATCAGGTTCTCCCATCCCCTGCCTGAATCTGTGAGTGTGTGAGTTTGAGAAGAATAAGGGTGGAATGTGAACTTTATTTTTTTAAAAGGTTTATTTATTTATTTGAAAGAGTTTCACAGAGAGAGAAGGAGAGGTAGAGAAAGAGAGAGAGAGAGAGAGAAAGAGTGAGAGAGAGGTCTTCCATCTTCTGATTCACTTCCGAACTGGCTGCAATGGCTGGAGCTGCACAGATCTGAAGCCAGGAGCCAGGAGCTTCCTCTGGGTCTTCCCACAGGGGAAGGGGCCCAAGGACTTGGGCCATCATCTTCCACTGCTTTCCCAGGCCATAGCAGAGAGCCGGATCAGAAGTGGAGCAGCCGGGTCGAACCATCACCCATATGGGATTCTGGCACTGAAGGCAGCGGCCTTACCCACTATGCCATAGTGCCAACCCTGGAATGTGAACTTTAAAAAGCAAGCAGTTCGGCGCCACAGCTCACTAGGCTAATCCTCCGCCTTGTGGCGCGGCACACTGGGTTCTAATCCCAGTCGGGGCGCTGGATTCTGTCCCTTTTGCCCCTCTTCCAGGCCAGCTCTCTGCTGTGGCCCAGGAGTGCAGTGGAGGATGGCCCAAGTCCTTGGGCCCTGCACCCCATGGGAGACCAGGATAAGTACCTGGCTCCTGCCTTCGGATCAGCGTGGTGCGCCAGCCGCAGCGCGCCGGCCGTGGCGGCCATTGGAGGGTGAACCAACAGCAAAGGAAGACCTTTCTCTCTGTCTCTTTCTCTCACTGTCCACTCTGCCTGTCAAAAATAAAATAAAAATAAAAAAATTAAAAAAAATTAAAAAAAAAAAGGCATGCAGATCAGTCTACCAAAGGGTCAGACACATATTAGTCAACAAGGTAACCAGGAAAAAGATAAAACACTCTTGGTGTTTCTAGTAACTACATTGCCTGTCCCCTGGCTACTGGTACAAACTAAGCAAACAGACTTCTTAGGAAATTCTCAGGTACAGGCCATATCTAGTTGGCCCAATGAAAGGAAAGGCCACCACAAAACACAGCAAACACCAGAGTAAGGGTAAAGGTTTATTGTCAGGTGGGGGAAACCTGACAGGCTGCCTCCCCGTGCACTGGGGGAACAGGTCTTATATAGCTTTGCAGAGGTAAGGAAGTGGGGGCAGCAGATCCACCAGGGTGGGGCTGGATCTGACGCTTGTGATTGGGCTGTTTGGTCACCTGACTTCTAGTGAGCCAGGCTGGGCTTAGAATGAAGCTTATTGTACAAAATGGCCACGGGGCCAGAGCCTATGATGGTGCCACAGATAAGACTGTATGGTTTTACTAACACCCGGTACCCCCAGAATGGTGTCTTCCTGTTATAACCTCCCAACAACCTCCTAGTGCCCTCATCCAAAGGACTTTTCCTCCTCCTTTGGTCCTTACGCCTTCTCTCCACCCTCCATTTTGGAGTGCAACCCTAAAGTAACAATTCAGTTCCAACTGCCTGCAGCTCCCACTGCCGTGGCTCGCCTTGCCCGGACCCTGCCCCCTTGATCAAAGCCTCCGTCTCCCAAACCTTTGGGTGCTACCAGCAGTCGCCCCGCCCCTCCACCCCCTGGCAAGGAAGAAGACACGAGAGCCGGGCCATTCGCACACCTGCCCTTTATTGGACTCATCTGCCAGGCTGGCGCGGGCCTTCACGCTGCTCAGACACCACCCATGAGGCTTTAGGAAGGTGCCATCATTCTGTGAAGGCCCAGGGCCCACCCAAGACTCGGAGCCAAGCGGGATCACCGACCAGAAGGTTCGAGAGGGGAAAAGCAAACGCGTGGATGAGAAGGGCAAGGGGACCGGGCAAGGGGCAGCTCCGGTCGCGCGTGGCTGCCGAGGGCCCCCGGCGGCGGCGGCTCACGCTATATGGCGACCTTGAGGAGGCGCTTGATGTCCGGCTCGATGTTGATGGTGGGGAAGGTGCGGCTGTAGCGTCGGAAGGGCTCGCCCTCCGGCCCTATGAGGAACTTCTCGAAGTTCCAGGCCACATCCGAGCGGCGCACGGGGCTCCAGATGATGAACTTGGGGTCCGTCATGAGGGAAAACGGGTCGTCGTGGGGGTAGGGCAGCTTGTCCTTGAGGTAGGCGAAGACGGGGTGCTGGTTCTGCCCGTTCACCTCGCACTTCTGGACGAGAGTGAAGGTGGGCTGGTACCCACCCCCGGGGCGCACGTACTTGAGACTGTTCAGGATCTCCTCATCCTGACAGTTCTCCTGCGGAGGGGGGAGAGAGAGAGCATGGAAAGGGGCGTGGCCACCACAGGGGAAAGGGCGGCTCCACCCCATGCCCGTCTCTGCTTTCCATCCCGTGTGTGCGCGCCACTCTCCTCTCCCTGGGCTTTGTCCTACCCCGGGCTTGGAGCGTCCCCCTCACACGTGTGGTTCGATGCTTGGCTCCGGCCATTTCTGGAAGTTCTTGGTGTTCCTAGCATGGCTGCTCTGCCACTTAGAGTTCCGCCCTCTCAAGCTGTGGCTTCTCCCTCTAACCCACCCCGAGCAGTTCTTAGAGGGTTTCTCTGGGGGCGGGGGACTTGGGATTCAGGGCAGAAGAAAGGGGTGAAGGGCGGCTCAGGTCATCGGAGAGCCTCGCCTTCTGTTCACCTACCCAACCCACCTACCCACACGCACACACACACACACACCCTACAACACCCTTCCTTCCCTCTACCCTGGTTTTTCATCCCTTGCTTCTAATTACCTACACCTCTGTTGAGGACAGCCTTGCCGCCGCCCTACTGAGCTCCTCACTCAAAGGCTGCCGTCGAGGCCCGGAGGAATGGCACCTGCAGCCTCTGGCTCCCTCTATGCCATGTCCTAGACGTGAAGTGCCGCTAGGAGCAAGCTCTGTGGGAGGCAGATCCCTCCCAAGGTGGTCGAGTTTTCCAAAGCCATGAAGGCAAAGCAAGGTAGAGACAAGGAATGTACTCAACATGGAACCGCTTCGTGACCAAATGGGCTGGGCAGGATAGAAGGCGGTGGGTTCTGGAATTAGGTGGGGGAGAGGGATGCTTGCGGCAATGAGTGCTTGAGGGCTAAGGGCTGTGGATCTGGGCTCAGCAGCCATTTCTGTGTTGTAATCCAGAATCTTGAACTCTGTGCACAGCTAGGCATGCTGTAGCTCAGAACCTGCTCCTGTCTTCCCTTCCCCCACCCTCTTCCCCATGCGCTCACTGTTCAGCACTTGCTACCCCCACCGTGGTGGGGACCCTTGTCCTCCACCCGCCACAATGTGAGAGTCAGATATCTCCCTCGGGGATGGAGCTCCTGCCTCGGACCTACTGGAACCAATTAGTACAGTCAGTTCCAGGCCGTCCCGGACATCAGGAGTCCAGAATCGATCGCTATTAGACTTCTTATCTCTTAGGGCAGTGGCTGGCTGGCTCCTGGTCTGGACTCCCTCCAGTAACAAGCCAGGCCCGAGTGACAGGTGGAGGGCTGCAGAAACGCCTCTGAAGAGCGTCTGCCCTTTCCGTCTCTCCTGCGCTGCAAAGGCTAGAGAGAGCCCCAAGGGGCAAGGAACGGCAAGTGCAGTCATGGCCGTGGCGCAGGCCTGTTGCAGCAATGACCCCTCAGCCTTCCTGCTTACGTCTCTCCGATCTCTTCCTCGTCTTCCTGCCTCTGTGCACTGAGCCTCCAGGGATTATAACTAGAAGGCTTCTTAGGGGGCATTCTGCTGCGAGTCCAGTGAAAATCCTAGGTGGAAATAGAAGGAGCCCTAAAAGATAAGGCGGGGTGTGCGGGCTGCAGATCTGCAGTGACGTGACTGGTTCAGAGATGGGAGGGTGTGCGTGAAGCCCACAGGTGCTTGAAGCCCGTGCACGTGCAGACCTCCCCCTGGCTCCAGCTGCACTTTCCACTGGGCTGAGCTAGCTACACAAACATCTTCACTCCAGTGAAGCTGCTTATGTTTGCTTAGAGCTTTCTTTTCGCAGGTTCCTTGGGATTCTCTTATCCCCTGAACCCCACGTTTAACCCTTTGAGCTAAGTGGATGATCTCCAACTTAGGAAAGAGGAAACTAAACCAGGAAAGGTGCATGGCTTTTCCGGGGGCAGGGAGCTATTCAACAGCAGAGCCAGCTCTGGCTGGGACTGAGGCTGCCGGACTCAGGTCAATGCTAATTTGATTCTTGATCTTCTGTTTCCTCCACTCATTCGTCCAATATTCAATATTCAACGAGACACTCAGGACACAAAGGAGAGAAAAACAGCCCATGGAATCTAACAGGAAGACAGTAAACAGTAAAAACGCACACCCTCAGTATTTAGTCTCAAAACATATCTACATCCCCTTGATATTTTACATGAACTTAAAGACCTAGATTGAGGCTGGCATTGTAACACAGTGGGTTAAGATGCCTCCTGGGGTGCCCATCCCAGAATGCCTGGGTTCGAGTCCCAGCTACTCTGCGACTGATCCAGCTTCCTGCTAATACACACCTGGAAGGCAGCAGGTGATGGCTTAAGTGTTTGGGTCCCTGCCGCCTACATGGGAGACCCGGATGGAATTCTAAGCTCCTGGCTTCAGCCTGGGCCATTCCTGGCTGTTTCGGGCTTTTAGGGGGACTGAACAAATGGATAGAAGCTCTCTGTCTCTCTCGCACTCTGCCTTTCAACTAAATAAAAAGTCTAGATGAACAAAACATACCCCGTGATTCCATCTACTGCACACACAGAAGCATTCGCTTGCTTTCCTCACCCTCCTCGGGCTGCGTCAGTGCAGCTCCTCGGGTTCAACCCAAGGGGCCTCTCACCTGATGTCCAAACTGGTTGCAAGGGAAGCCGAGCACCACCAGGCGCCTGGGGTAGCGGCACTGCAGCTCGTTGAGCTGGGTGAAGTCCCGGGTGGTGGTGCCTCAGAGAGAGGCCACATTCTCAATCAGCACCGCCCTGCCCCGGAACGTGTTGAAGTCTACCTTCTCCCCGTCCAGGCTGACGGCAGTCAGGTCGTAGAAGGACTTGGCGATGTAAGCCATGGCGAAGCGCTGAGTGAGCCCTGCAGAGTCGGGGAGCCCACTTAAGGGTCCGTCACGGGGGTGGGCGGGGAGGAAGGCGGAGTCACCAAGGAGTACAGAAAGGTCTTTGAGAAGTGCCCAGGATGACTTAGCAAAAACAGGCAGCCACCTGTTGGAACAAGGAGCTTGTGCCTCCTATTTACTCTGAACAAAGCCACCGCCCTGCCCCGCCCTGCTGGCGTCCTGGGCAGGGCCAATCTGATACCTGTGTGCAGATGTGAATAATTCACTACCTTCAGGAAACTCGAGCCATAAAGGCCTAAGGAGAGGAAAACAAGGGAGGGGCGCGGAGGGGGCGCAGCAGGGTTGACTCCTGCCTGCCCCAGCAAGCCATTTTCCCTTGGCACACACCTGTACAGGATTCCTTTATTGAGTGCCAATCTGTGAATTGGGCAGCGAGCCTGTGGGGTCTGCAGGGCTCAGAAAGAGGAGGGAGAAAATTGGGGGCTCGCGTGCACCTGTTGGAAGCTACACGCTACTGTGTGCATTGTTCTCTTTGCCTGTCGCTTCCCACAAGGGCCACTTCAGAGGGGAGTATGTCTTTTTCTAGAAAGAATGGCTCTAAAAGAGCCTGCGTGGTGGCAGAGTGGGTAAAGCTGCCATTTGCGATGCCGGCATTCCATGTGGGCGCTGGTTTGAGTCCTGGCTGATCCACTTCTAATCCAGCTCCTTGCTAATGGCCTGGGAAAAGCAGAGGAAGATGGCCCAAGTGTTTGGGCTCCTGCTAACCATGTGGAAGACCTGGATGGATGATGGAGATCTGGATGAAGTTCCTGGCTCCTGGCTTTAGCCTGGCTTAGCCATGCCATTGCAGCCATCTGGGGAGGGAACGAGTGGATGGAAAATCTCCATCTCTCTCTCTTTCTCTGTAACTCTGCCTCTCAAATAAATAAGTAAATCATTAAAAAAGTATGAAGAGAAGTAATGGCTTTCAGTGCCTAACACGTACCCGGCAGAGAGGAAGTTGTTTGTCTTGAAATCTTTCCATGAGGGTTGCCCCTTGCCCATGACCCTGCATTTTAACCATGCACTACGTTATAACCCCCGCCGACAGCCTCCTCCCCACCCCAAGGTCACGAGGATACGGTCCTTGCTGGGATCATGGCGAGCGGATCATCGGACAGATGAGGAAGCTCAGAACCAATAAGCTGCACCTGTTTCCTCACAGACAAAGCTTCAGCCGCCAGACTTTCAGAGGGGGCCTGTGCCAGGCACCCCCAGGGAAGGAAGTGTGCAGGGAGTGGGAACTGCTGTGGCCCTACACCCAGCAAGGCACCCGTGGTATGTTCAATACCAGCCACGCAGAGGGTTGCAGGACGCCCCAGGACCCACTAAGGGCTCCCACGGGAGCCTATCCCTGAAAACTAGACAGATCCGAGTGCCCCTGCATTCCTCCAAGCACTCAGCAACTCAGCCCGTCAACAACACAGAACCAGCAATTAGGCTGCCCTGGCTTGGGGATTTCAGTGTTTATTAGGGAGCCCTTTCACAGGTCCACATCCGTTGGGAACAGTCTCCCAGAGCAAAGAAGAAAGCAAGGCTGGGGAGCAGCTGCTCCTGAGAGTCTGATTTGTTAAGGAGGTAGAGGCGCTACCCTCCAGGGGCTGCCCAGCGTCTCTGCTTTGTAGCTTGTCCCAGGGCTCCGTGAGCATGTGGGAACCATGGGTCTCAGCTGGCTGCTCCCCCAAGCAAGCTTCCATTTTCCAAGTCGGGAAATGGAATTTTCTGCCATGGGGAGGGGTGACAGAATGTGCAGGGTGAAATGTGTCACCTGCTGAGGCTGGGTGGACTTCCTGACAGCAGCCAGCAAGCATCCGTACCTGGCCACCAAGACAGAAGGACTTGGCACTGACTGGTGAAACTGACACGGACCTGCCAGATTGCCCCGCATGGCTGGGGCAGATCTGTCAGCGCTCGCTGGGCTCCCAGGGCCTCGCTCTGCTTTGCAAAGCCTCCTCTTCAGGAAGGCCAGAGAAATCCCTGCACTGAGGGGCAGGGGTAAGGGGTCCAGGCCAGCTCTTGCCTCCAGGTGCCACCTGTGGTCCTTAACAGCCTTCCAGGGTGCTCTGCTTTCACAGCTGAGTAACGGGCAAGGCTCCCCTGAAGTCCCTTGATTCCAACTCGACCCCATTCCAGCCTCCAGCTATGGGCAGGCAGCGACGCCTGTGATTGCCAGGACTTTGTGCAGGGCAGTGGTTCTTGTACAAACAGCACTACTCGGGGAAGCAGAGCGCCCAGGTGGGTGGGTCGCTATGCCGACTGCAGGAATCACTTGCACATCTTCTAAACAGAGATGCCAAAGCTTTGCCCTTCTGATTCCAACCCAGTGACTCCCAGTTAAATTTCCAGCGCTCTGAACATCTCTCTCCTGATCTGTGGAGTCACCTCGCAGTGACTGTTGGATGGGAGGAGCTGGAGTGTCACAGACTGTGACGGGCAGATAAGGTCTTTAGATGACTGCTGCCCTGCCTCCTTCCTTATTCTATCCTCGCCCCCATTCTCTCTCTCTCTCTCCTGCAACTCTACTTTCCACAGGGTAGTAAGTAGGAGGGACTTCAGAAAGTTTGTGCAAAATGGAATTAAAAGATGTTTATTGGGCCGGCGCCGCAGCTCACTAGGCTAATCCTCCGCCTTGTGGCGCCGGCACACCGGGTTCTAGTCCCGGTTGGGGCGCCGGATTCTGTCCCGGTTGCCCCTCTTCCAGGCCAGCTCTCTGCTGTGGCCAGGGAGTGCAGTGGAGGATGGCCCAAGTCCTTGGGCCCTGCACCCCATGGGAGAGCAGGAGAAGCACCTGGCTCCTGGCTCCTGCCATCGGATCAGCGCGGTGCGCCGGCCGCAGCGCGCCGGCCGCGGCGGCCATTGGAGGGTGAACCAACGGCAAAGGAAGACCTTTCTCTCTGTCTCTCTCTCACTGTCCACTCTGCCTGTCAAAAAAAATAAAAAAAAATAAATAAAAAAATAAAAAAGATGTTTATTGTAATGCAAAAAAATTGAAATCCATGCATTTTTTTTAAAAAAATCCACATTTTTCATGAACTTTAAACAAAAAAATTGAGAGGCAGAGATGGATAGACACAAACAGTAAGAAGGAGCTCTCCCCGATGTCTGTGATGAGCCAGGAGACAGGAGCCCAACCCAGGTCTCCATGTGGATGGCAGCAACCCAACTGGTTGAGACACCAGCTCTGCCTCCCAGGGTTTGTATCAGCCGCACACAGGAGCCAGGAATTCAAGCCCAGCACTCTGACATGGAAAACATGGCGTTCTAACTGGCATCTTAACCAACAGGTCAAATGCCCGCCCCTCTGTGAACTCTTTGAAGACCTCTGATATGTATGGATTCATCTCTGGCACTGAAAAAAACGTTATCTTGGAATTCCATTTCCCACAAGTCCCTTAGCTCCTACACAGCCCGTCTGCCTCCACACCCCGAGGTGTCAGTCAGTCAGAAACCTGAAAGACGAGGCAGCTCCCTCCCAAACAGACGGCCACCTGGGCTGCACAGAGTCCCTCAGACCCCCTCAGAGAGGCGCAGCCCCTCCCAAGGCCTGGGCCGCCTTCTTTCTGCAGTGGCCTCCTGCAGGCGACCACAGGGAAGGCAGCCCTGGCCGCTCCTGTCGCTTCTCCTGCTGTGGCTGCAGGCACGTGGCGGCTTTTCTGCCGCTTCCCTCTCCCGTCCCACCTCACCGCCGTGGGCCCAGCGAGACCTCCTCCCTAGGACGCATCCACAGGAGCCACAGCTGTGGTCTGAAATAGCCTTTATTTTGTAAACATCTGTGTTTAAAATAAACGAACCCTGCTCACTCACAATCCCTATGATAGACCCGAGACACAGCACGCGAGGTTTACCCGTCCCAGGGAGATGGCAGGGGCTCAGGAGCAGGTGGTGTGCCTGGGGATGGGCTGAGTCTCAAGCCAGCAGGTGTAGAGGCGGTGATGAAGACGCAGGCCGGAGCCTGCTCCCCAGTCTGGGCCTAGAGCCACTCCCCAGAGCCCCTCCTTGGACTGGGGTTTGGGGTAAGAGACCCACTCTGGGACTGGCAAGAACAGCTGCACCCCAAAATCCTCCTGCTCCCGGACTGTTCCCAGCTGTGGCTCTCCCAGAGAGGGCTCGTGAGTCCACACAGTCCCTACCCTATGTTTTGCCTTCCAGAACCCCTAGGGTCCAATCAAAATACAGTCCCTCTTCCAGGGGGGCAGGCGACTGGGAGAGAAAGACAACCCACTCTGGCCATCTCCAGGAAACCTGTTCCCGTCCATGGCGTGCGCCACACCCACTCTGCTGCCCCCGAGGTCCCTGGCTGAAGGTGAGACCCCCGCAGCCCCAGAGTGAGGCACCAGAGCTCTGGCTGGCAGACCTCAGGAGCCCACCATTTCTCACCGGGCAGCCCCTCCTGCCGCTATGCTGACCTATCCCCTCAGTTGGGGACTGACTTCCCCCTTGGACAGGGCAGGCAGGAAGGCTGGGGAAGCGACCCGCCACCCCTGTGTCGTGCCTGGAGTGGTACAGAAGGGCGTTCTTCTCCTGCACACCCGTATGTCCTGGGTTTTGGCCCTTGGTTGGAGAATGCTCCAAGCCGCATTCTTCCAGTTGCTTCCGGTCCCAGCCCTGCAGTGCAGCTGGGGAACAATGCTCTGACTTGTGTTCCTCCCGCCACCGGAAGGGCAAGGAAGGGCTCCTTCCAGCTGCTCTTGGGGGCTAAAGATGCTCCCTGCACACAGGAGTCAGGGGGAGGAGGCCTCGCCTGCCCCTCCCCCACCACAGGTGGCCTCAGTGCCCTTGGCAGACCCCTAGGCCAACTCGGGGCGACCAGGCAGGATGGGCACTTGGTCTTGAAGGCTGCAATCACAGCACCGAGCACTTCTATGCAGGGCCTCTCTCTCTCTCTCTCTCTCTCTCTCTCTCTCTCTCTTTCCTCTTCCCAGGCAAACCTTAAGGGCGGGAGACCCGGATCAGTGACTGAAGGCTGATGTGACTACTCCTGGGCTGGGGGATGCCCTCCTGACACGGGAAGAGAAGATGGGGCCAGGAGGCCCCGTGGCCACCATGTTGCCTGTGATAAGCCAAAGGCGGACCATGGCCTGTCCCTGCCCTTGCTCTGCCCCCCCAAACCTAGGAGCCCGACCTCAGAGGATCAGGGGCTCAGGGCTCTCCTTGCCCCTGTGGTACCCTCAGGCCTCTGTCCACACCTCTAAATTCAGGAGCCCAGGTGGGGAGAAGTCATGGACCCCGCCACACGGGAGGTAGAGAATGGAGGTGACTTTTTGTCTCTGCCACCCCTCACCATTGCCGTCTCTTCTCTGAAGCACCTGCCAGCGAGCTCAGGGGAGGCGGCCGGGCAGGCGGGCAGGCAAGCGTGTCCAGAGCTTGGGGGGGGGAGCAGGTGGAGGTAGGATGGCCAGGGCCTGAGGGCCAGCAGGTGGCATGCCCCCTGCAAGCCCCCCCACCCTGGCCCCATCCCGCCCATAGCACAGAAAACGGAAGAGGACAATGCACCCTGTAGCCTTCAGGCCCCCACGAAGCTGGGGGCTTCCCCCTGGATCAGGGGGTGCATCACCCCCCAGAGCCTACGCGCATTCCCTCCGACAGGGCTACAGTGAACGAGGAGGGAGGCACCTGCACCCACATTGGGGGGGCGGGGGCAGGAGAGACCAAGACACAAAACACTGGAGGGGAAGGGGATGGGAGAAGGGAGAGTGAGGAGGAGAAAGCAGAGCGGAGGAGACGGGGAGGAGCCTTGGCCGTGACTCCAGCCATGGCCCTTGCCCCTGGGGCGGCGAGACCCGCAGCTCAGCACAGCAGCGAGGAGTCAGAGCTGGCCTGGGGCTGGGGTCGCGGGCTGAGGGATGGCGAGGAGGCAACGACAGCGGGGCCGCATCTGCGCCAGGCGGGGGATGTTCAACAGGGTCGTCAGATGCCAGGACAGCGGCGTCGGGACAGGGGCCGGCCTCCCCAGCTGCCTGCAGGCCTCCCGCGGCAACGCGGTGCTCCATTCACGGCCCTCAGCACCAGCAGGTTTTAGAAGAGTTCGCTGGGCCCTCGGGCTTGCCCGCCTCCTCCAGCTCTGTCAGCGCCAGCTCGTGGCCGGCCCGGGTGCGGAGACCATCCAACTCCTTCCGGTGGGCCTGTAGCACCAGCTCGGTCAGCCGCGTGAAAGACTGGACAAGAGAGGGGCACGGCTGAGCCCAGCCTCCGCTCCGCGGCCCTGCAGCCACCGTGGGTGGGACCCTGTGGTCTGAGCCCTGCCCCCATGCGCCCCCACCTCCCGCGGACTCAGCCGGGACAGGGACAGGGCAGCGGGTCCCCCGGGGTGCTCACCTCTTTAATGTTGAGGTTGGTGCAGGCACTTGTTTCATAGAAGTCCATGCCGTACTCCCTGGCCAGCTGCGAGAGGGAAGGGCATTGATGAACGATGCAGGGAGGGGAGGCGGTGGGCACACCCCTGTGTCACTGCCCTCAGGGGCAGCTGTGCTGTGAGATGCTCAGAGCTGAGAGCTTGGGACAGGGGCTGGCAGAGTTGGGGGTGGGGAGAGAGATGCCCCACAAATACACCTCTCTGTTCTTTTAGCCCTGGCCACCACGCCCCAACACACACACACACACACAGAAACACAACCACTCACCAGGGGACAATGACATGGAACCATGGGGCAGTGTGGCGGATGAATGTAAAACAAAACAGAAAACAAACAAAAGCACGGGCTGTAGAGCCAGGCTTGAGTGCCAGGGCTGCCACCAGGCAAGTGGGTGACCTCTCTCCGTGGCCCCGGCCTCCTCTTTGTCAGCGGGGAGGGGATGAGAGTGTCCTTTCTCCCAGGCTGTGGCTCGGTTCCTGGGGACGGAGCGCATTGCCACACACACAGAGTGCCTACCATGCCGTGACTTCCAGTGGGGCTGGCCTTGATGTTCTCATGTATCATTAAATGAATCGAGGGTACTGCAAGCGCTAACGGGATGCTTGTACTGAGGAGGGAGACTGAGGCCCTCTGCGGGGTGGGGGGTGGGGGTGGGGGTGGCCTTTGTTGTGCAAACTCTCAGCTCTCCCTGCACTCCTGGACTGGCCCTCACCCTCGCTGCTGCCCGGCGGCTCCTCAGAGTTGGCACCTGAAGCCCCCTCCTCCTTGCTCAGGCAGGGGCCCTCCGTGCCTGTGGGTGTTGCAGGGCTCTGGCGGCTGGGCGGCTGGGTTCCAGCTCTCAGGGCTGGCCTCATGTGCCACGCAGGGTGCCAGGGGCACTCCACTTACCTGCTGCCCTTGCTCTCTGCCCACCTGCCGTTTCTGCTCTTCGTCGGCCTTATTCCCTATCAGGATCTTCTGCACGCCTTCCGGTGCGTACTAGGGACAGAGGACGGCACACCTGCAGCGAGGCTGCTCTCCCCACCCTTGCCCTGCACGGAGCTCGCGCCTGGGGACACGGTGGGCTGACTGGGCCCACCTGCTGGGCTCTCCCACCTGTAATGCTCCTCTGGAGTGGTTCCATTAATTCATTTACTTATTGATAATCTCAGTTACCCACCATTGACCATGATCTAAACTATTAAAAGGAAAATGCCAGAAATCAACAATTCATAAAGGTCTCCATTAGCTTTTATCACAGTATGTTGTCATAACTCTTCTGTTTCATATTACGTATCACTGTCCACCTTGCACTGTAAACTTTATCATGCGTAGGAAAAAAACACCAGATATACACAGGGTTTGGGAGCACCTGTGGCTGCAGGGGCCCCAGGGACCCTGGAACGTATCCTCTGCAGACATGGGGTGGGGGAGCTACTGTACCACGGCCAAACAAACCCACGAGTGCCATGGGGGGAAACTCAGGGTAGAAGACGCTGGCTAATGTTGGTGCTTCCCTGGGTTGGACAACTGGTACCCCATCTGGAAGGTAGCCTGGGCTGAAGATAAGAAACTGGGGACCCAGTGAGTCGCACCGGGTCGCCCACAGCTCCACAGTGGCTGTGCAGACTCAGGTCTGGACCCTGGTCTCGCCACTCTGGCTGGCTCTGGGATTTCAGGGTCAAGCTGGGAGTTAACTCATTCAGGACTTTGTGGCCATGGGGTCTGGTGAGGTGCGGAGCAGGAGGGCCTGGGGGCTCTGGGGTCTTTCTGTGACTTTCTCACCCAGAACTCTTCCTCTGGGGCTGTGCAAGGCAAGGTTTCCTGGGGAGGGGGTGGGGGCAGCTGCTTGTCCGTGCTGAGAACCCCAGCCCTCCCCAGAGACACCCTTTCCTCGTGGGGCAGGGCTCACGTACCTCGTCCACATCGCTGACCCACTTCATGATGTGCTGGTAAGAGCGCTCGCTGCTGATATCATAGACTAAAAATATCCCCTGAGTGAGAGAGAGGGAGGGAGGGAGAGGGAGAGATGGGGAGGTAGGCACCGACCGGGGCCACAGGGCCGGGGTGCCCAAAACACTCCACCTGCTCTTCCTTCCTGCTTAGCTGAATGAGACCCCCCTCAGCATCCAGAAACTTCCCCTTCTCTGGGACCCCAACAGCTGAGGCTCCCAGGCCTGTCTCTGGACCCTCTGAAGACGGAAGGCGCCCCGTGCTTTGGCCCAGGTAGAGGGAGGAAGCTAGGGGCACGGGCCAGGGCCTGACTATACCAAGTGTTCTGTGAAGAACTAAGGAATGAATGGAAAATGGCCCCCAGGGCACCCCTTCCGCCTACCCTGCCCCTCCTTGGCAGCAAGCTGTCCGAGGGCCCTGTCTTGGTGGCTGCTGGCACAGACACCTCAAACCCCAGCGCTGGGAGTGTGGGTGGTGGCTTCCCACCTCTACACCCTGGAAACGGTGGCTCACCTGGGCCCGCCGATAGTACTGCTTGGTGATGGTCTGATACCTCTCCTGGCCCGCTGTGTCCCTGCGGGAGAAAGCCAGTCCCTCAGTGGAGGGAGCCAGGACCAGGGGTGCACGCAGGGGTCAGGGGAGCAGGTGCTGGGTGACTCTGTGCCCGTGCAGGAAAAACTGGGGAGTGTCAGACGAAAGCTCACAGCTCTGATCCCCAGGGATCCAGGCACCCCTGACTGCGAAGACGGCGGAGTCTAACCCAAACACCCTGCATGCTCCCAAATCCAAAACCTCCTGAGCACCGACATGACGCCGCAACAGGAAGATTCCACGCCGTGAAACGTTGTTCCATGCACAAAGTCACTTGCAATACTGTGTGTGATTCCCTTTGGGCTATGTGGGTAAGGTGTATATGAGATACGTTATCTCAGCAGGTACAAGGCTACTTCAACATTTGTGGAAAGACGGAATGAAGAGATAAGGTGTATTTTCCATGAAGTTTTTGAAGCACCCTCAGAGATGCAAGTATCCCACAATCCGAAAAAATCCAAAACTTCAGGTCTCAGGCATTTTAGACAGGATACTCAACATGCACCTGCACTAGGAACCGTAATCCTGAGCCTTGGACAGCGTGGCTGTGGTGGACAGACTTGGGAGTGGACTGGGGCGATGATGCTACACCCCCGACCTTGTGGGATGGCTCAGGGCCCGGTCCACACAAGTCCAGGCCTGGAGGACAGCTCTGAACGCTGGCATAAGCAGTGCGTCCAACACTTCCGCACGGGAGAGCCACACCGCCCCCCTGTGGCTTCTTGTGGGAACCGCACCATGTGTCCCCCCTACATGGTGGGGTGGAGCCCTCCCTCCCTTCTTCCCACAGTGTGGCCTGGGTCAACGGTACAGCCTAATTGTAAGACAAACCCACAGCGATTTGTTTCTTAATCCCTTCTAATTTCTGCCTTTCGGTGACTCGTGGTCAATCCTACACAGTTTCTTAAGAAGGGCTCAGTGGTTAGGGCACATAGGAGAGCCGTCTTCCCCTCATTCCAGGCGTCCCACGGGGTTTTGCACACAGCGTGGCCGGTGGCAGCAGAGGGGCAGGGTCCTTCCCCTCCCACGCAACTCACCAAATCTGTATCCTCACTTTGATGCCGTCTACCTCGATGGTCTTCATCTTAAAGTCCACCCCTGCAGAAGAAGAGGGAAAGGTGAGGAAAGCCCCTGCTGAGGCCTGAGTGGGAGGGGCCCCAGGCACTCACTCTCTCCGAGAGCGTCTCTAGGTTTCACGTGCGCGGAGGGGGCCTGTGGCAGGGCCTTCTTTAGCTATAGACTGATTCACAGTGCTGGCCAGAGCTTTGCATGGGGCTCCCCTTCCTGCAGCTTCCTGAGCTGCAAGTTGCTAGCAGTAAAGGTTTGGGGGTGCCAGGAGGTGGGGTGAGAAGGGGGACCCCATGAAGAGGTCTTCCAAAAGTTCATGGAGAGGAGTACTATGGGGACCGGCGCTGTGGTGTAGCAAGTAAAGCTGCCACCTGCAGTGCTGGCATCCCATATGGCACCAGTTTGTGTCCCAGCTGCTCCACTTCCGATCCAGCTCTCTGCTGTGGCCTGGGAAAGCAGTAGAAGATGGCCCAAGTCCTTGGGCCCCTGCACCCACGTGGGAGACCTGGAGGAAGCTCCTGGCTCCTGGCTCCAGATCGGCCCAGCTCTGGCCGTTGTTGTGGCCATTTGGGGAGTGAACCAGTGGATGGAAGACCTCTCTCTCTCTTTCTAACTCTGTCTTTCAAATAAATAAATCTTTTTTTTTTAAAAAAAAAGGTATTCTATGAAAAACCTACATAAGGTTTTCAAAAAAATTTTTTGCACCAAAATAAACTTACCTGCTAATTCTGTTTTTCCACAGGCTTTTTGACGCACATACTTTCAGCATGGCCTCGCTTAGGCCCCAGATGTGTCTCCTCGTACTTGAAGGCCCCTTCTTCCTACCTCTGGAGCTGTTTGTGTTTGTTACGCCCCAGGAACAACAGCCCACCACGTTTGCCTGGGCTCTGTCTCCCTCTCATTAGTGAGCAGAAGGGGTTGTGGTGCTGTCGTGCTGAAGGCAAGGCACAGCCCTGGGCAGGGGGGACTGTTTAACCCCTCCATGTGCACGACCCAGCCCTTGGCTCGAGAAGAGGCCCGGCACGCCTCTGCTGTTGTTCACCCCTTCTTACTGCAGGAGGCGCTGTTGTCAACTACAAGGAGCCTGGGCACTCTGCAGGCAGGCCTGAGCTTGAATCCCCACGGCGACTTAGTCCATACAAGGGAACTTCAAAACGTGAAGATAAGCGTAGGGGCAGGCACTCAGCCTACCAAGAACGCCTGTGAGGACAGCACGTCCCGTATCAGAGCGCCTGGGTTTGATTCCTGGCTCTGGCTCCTGGTTTCAGCTTCCTGCTAAGACACACCTTGGGTCCTTGCCACACATGTGGGAAACTTGGATCAAATTCTCATCTCCTGACTTCTGCCTGGCTCAGTCCCAGGCACCTGGGGAGTGAACCAGAAGATCCGGGCTCTTTCTCCCTACGTGTCCCTGTCTCTCTCTCTCCTCTCAATATATATATTTTGACAGGCAGAGTAGACAGTGAGAGAGAGAGACAGAGAGAAAGGTCTTCCTTTGCCGTTGGTTCACCCTCCAATGACCGCCGCGGCCGGTGCACCACGCTGATCCGATGGCAGGAGCCAGGTGCTTCTCCTGGTCTCCCATGGGGTGCAGGGCCCAAGCACTTGAGCCATCCTCCACTGCACTCCCTGGCCACAGCAGAGAGCTGGCCTGGAAGAGGGGCAACCGGGACAGAATCTGGCGCCCCGACCGGGACTAGAACCCGGTGTGCCGGCGACACAAGGCGGAGGATTAGCCTAGTGAGCCGTGGCGCTGGCCAATAATTTTTGTAACAAGATGTTTATTTTGTCATGGAACATGTTGAAATGCATACATAGTTCTTTCATAATATACACTTTCTGAAAGACCTCTCATATGCATGGATTTCAGCAATTGTTGGCACCAAAATCAGCTTAGCTTTTAATTCCATCTCCCATAAACTTTCTCAAGCACCCCTGTACTCTGGGCACCTAGCTTCTCCGAGCCTCCTTTTCATCATCAATCAAAACCAGGGAGATCCACAGTCCTCTGAGAGAGTTGCTGAGAAATCAAGGGCGGCCCCGCGGCTGGTACAGTCAACCATAGCCGTCATCAGAACCTGGGACAGCGCCTGCTACACAGCAGGTGCTCCTGGGTGACCACCGAGTGACCGGTGCAGAGGCAGCGGCCCGGCATGGTGCTGGGGTAGACCTAAGAGACACACAGGTCTCAGCTTCATCCGCCCAAGGGTTTGCCACGAGACAGGGGAGGCTCGAGGGACCCCTGCAAGCCAGCCCAGGGTGGAAACACACGTGTGAGAATTTGCAGTAAGACGTCAGCTCCACCAGCAGCACACAGGCTGGATTCTGATGTTGGCAGAGAACTGTGGGTGATGCCTCTGCCAGCGTGCCCCCTCCGCAGCCCTAACTGTGGCCAGGTGCTGGGCCCAGTGACTCAGGAGCTATGTCTACCCAGTGATTCAAGAAGAAGTCTTAATGCATTCTCTGGAGGCAGGTCAGGAGTGGGTATCACTCCAGGGTTTCAGGTGGGAACAGCAGGAAGGCACTGCTGGCCTGCTCAGCGGCCCCCAGAAAGTCCAGCCTTCCCCACGCCATGGCCTTTCCATGTTGCATCACTGCTTTGCCACATGGGGAACCCACCTCCCTCATCCATCCCATCCCCAGCTGTCCACAAACGCAGAACCGTTCAACTCCATCTCCTCCCTCCCACCATGGAGACCAAATCATCATTTAATTAGCAGGGAGGAAAAGATTCAGAACAGAGGACCTGAACCAAGTGGGGCTGGTCAGGTGTGAGTCATCGCTCCGTTGCCCAAGCTGATTCACATCTCCTGAGCTGTCCTCCAGATGGGCAAAGCTGGGCAGCCATTCCTCCATGCTCGCAGAGGAAGAGAAGAGCAAGGGGAGGGGGAGGGCGCCTGGCCTCGGTGGGAGGCCAAATCCTGCCTTCTCCCTCCCTGGACAAACAGTAATTTGCTTCCCCTCAATACCTGGCATAGAAGGGAATCAAGAAATTCCTGTTGCGTCACAGTCCAGTGCCTCCTTCCAAGGAGAACCAGAGATTTTGTTGGTTTTATATTTAACCCAACTGCTCTTGGCTCAGCCTAACCAGGCCGGTCAAGAACAGTGCCTTAGGTAGAGAGCAGTGCTCTCTGCCCTGACAGAGCTTACTAGAAAGGAAACCCAGGCCCAGACTGGTCAACAACTAGCCCGAGGCTGGCACAGCACACGGCAGCACCTGCTACACCTTACACAGCTGCCTGGGACACGGAGGTGCTCGTAGCTTCCTGGTGCTCTGTGGCTCCACCCCACACTTAAGGGGATGTTTTCCCTGTGACAGAAGACAGGAGGCAGGGAGGACAGGGCTGGACAGCAGGCACCAACTACACTGTTAGGGACACCTGGCCTTTGGGTTCTGCTCCCCGCACCCCAACTTTTTTTTAAATCCTAAATAATTTTTTAGTTTCTTTTTTTTTAAAAAATATTTATTTATTTGAAAAGCAGAAAGAGAGAGAGATCCTCCACCTACAGGTTCCCTCCCCAGGTGGCCACAACACAGGAGCCTGGAACTTTAGCCGGCTCTCCCACATAGGCCGCAGGGGCCCAAGCATTTGGGCCTTGTTCCATTGCTTTCCCAGGTGCATTTGACAGGGAGCTGGATCAGAGGTTGAGCAACTGGGACTCGAACCAGTGTCCACATGGGATGCTGGCGCCGCAGGCAGTGGCTTAACCTGCTGTGCTACAATGCCTGTGCCCTTCCCTGACCATGGCTGGGCAGTTATGGGGCTCAAAGCGCTGCCAGACACCTCACTAAGGCCCTCAAATTTAACAAGTGTGAGAAGTAAAATGTGGGGCCAGCGCTGTGGCGTAGTGGGTAAAGCCGCTGCCTCTCAGTGCTGGCATCCTATATGGGTGCCGGTTCGAGTCCTGGCTGCTCCACTTCTGATCCAGCTCTGCTATGGCCTGGGGAAGCAGTAGAAGATGGCCCAAGTCTTTGGGGCCCCTGCACCCGTGTGAAAGATCTGGAAGAAGTTCCCGGCTTGGCTTACCTCTGGCCATTGCCGCCATCTGGGGAGCGATCCAGTGGATGGAAGCTCGCTTGTTCTCTCTCTTGCTCTCTCTCTCTGCCTCTCTGTAACTTTGCCTTTCAAATAAATAAATAAATCTTAAAAAAGAAGAAAAATGCTTCCATTTTGGCTGTTCATAGGACATTCATACAAGGAACTTCAAAATATTTACAGACAAATGGAACTAGACAAGAAGTTTATTTTGAAGCCAAAAAAGAAAAAAAAAAACCCAAGAAGCATAGATTTTTCACAATATGCTTTTTTCCATGAACTTGTCGAAGACCCCTTGCAAGGATGGAAGAAACAGTGCTGAGTCTGTTTGCTTAAGAAGCCCCCCTGCCCTTGCCCTCCTTTTGAAATAATAATAATGATAATTTTAAAAAGTCAGCGACTCCAGGAGCTCCAGCAGGAATGTACCCCTTCCATTCTGTTCCCACGTACCCTGGCCCTCAGTACCCAGTGCCTATCCTGGCTCCTTCTCTCTCTCTGCCTGGTTGCTGGGCTCTGCAGGACCAACTCACATGCTGGTGGTCTGACCTGGTTCCCTCCTGCCTTCTCACCGCCACAGGCACCGAGGTTGCTCAGCACACTGCTGATCCAGACGTGTGTGCACCAGCACCCGCCCACAGCCACCGTCCTGGCTGCTGCAGGCAGGCCCTGCGGTGATGCCCACACCTGCTCAAGTCTGTGAACTACTTGCAGCCCCAGGCTCTGCACCTGCAGCATCAAGAGCTGTAACAGACTTGTTCTCTATCCCAAGGTGCACTTGGTGGCTCCTTGGCTACTGCATCACTGGGGTAGTTTGTTAAAAATGGTGGCAGGGGGCTGGCACTGTGGCAGAATGGGTAAAGTCGCCGCCTGCAGTGCCGGCATCCTATATGATCACAGGTTCAAATCCCAGCTGCTCCTCTTCCAATCCAGCTCTCTGCTGTGGCCTGGGAAAGCAGTAGAAGATGGCCCAAGTGCTTGGGCCCCTGCACCCAC